AACACCCCAACCGGGCCCTGTAAAAGTAGCCATGCCCAATACTAGCCCGACTCACCAAAAAAAAAAGAAAAAAAAAAAAAAAAAAAAAACAAAAAAAAAAAAAAAAAAAAAAAAAAAAAAGTCAAAGTCAAAGTCAATAAGACAATGTCAAAAAAACCACGAAGATTTCCCACCACCCCCAGAAAGCTTGCAACGGCCCTCTTCAGTGCACGCGTATATTGGTCATCACGCGAATCTTGCCCACGGCCATCTCCTCCCCGCCGCCGCCGGAATCCGCCGCCCCGGCGACCAGCTCCAACTTACTTGTATTCTCACTCGTAGACGTCGTCGTCGTACTGGCCCTACCGGCGCGAATCGACGAGTAATTCTGATTCTGACTCGTCAACTCATACGTCAGTCCTGCCGAATGCCGACTATGACTGTGACTGTGTTTGTTGTTGGTGGTGGTGGTGTTTGTAGTAGTGCTGCCGGTACTGCCCGCGCGGCCCCACCCCCACCCCCAGGGATGTTTGGCGAGGGCGATGGCATTGGGCACGGAGATGGAGATAATGGAGAGACTCCCCTCGAGGGTGGCCCAGTAGAGGTAAGTGGTGAGGGTCCAGGTCTCGTCGTCGGCGACCTTGGGGATGATCTGGACGGTGGCGATCATGCGGCCGAGGGAGACGACGATGACGGAGTAGGTGAGGATGAAGGCGACGAGGAGGTAGATGCGGCGACGCAGGCTGCTCTGCAGGCGCCAGATGAGGGGGACGGGGATGATGAGGATCCAGATGTCGATGGCGCAGGAGAGGGTGGCGGTGGCGGTGTACCAGGCGAAGCTGTTGACGCAGCTGCCCTTCAGCGTCGGGGTCCAGGCCTTGGGGATGGGATCACATTGCCAGATGGTGACCAACACCGCGGAGAGGAGCCAGCCCACCACCAGGGCGCCGAGGATCCAGAGCTGCAGGCGCAGGAGGCGGTTGGTGGTCGTGTTGAAGACGCGCGCGTACAGGAAGAGGGCGGAGAGCTTGGGGAAGCAGATCGAGGTGTCGAAGAAGAAGATGCACACGTAGAAGTATCGCGCCCCGCGCGTCAGGAGGCTCGGGTCTTGCGCCGCGACAAAGGCTTCATGCAGCCCCAGCCCGAGCTGCACCCAGGCGATGAGGAGCGAGAGGATGATGACTTCTGCTGGCTTGAGTTCGAGTCAGAATCTTTATCTCTCCGGGGCCAGGGTCCAGGGGTTTAGTAAGTAGGAAAGGTTTGATATATACCCAGGAGAGCAGCGCAAACAAATCATCCCACCACCACCGTTGCTTGGTGACGATCTTCGAGACCACCCGCGTCACCGTCATCAAGGTCGTGCAGACCAGCAGAACGATGAACAGCGCCTGCACACTGGGCCCCCGGTTGGGTGTGCCCTCCGGGATGTCCAAATCCATGTTCACAATGGCTGATAGGACAGCAGGGGGGTCGACACAGGAATGTACCGGGGCATTTTCAAGTTGCGGAGAGGAGGGGGGGGGGGGGGGGACAAGGATGGGAGGCGTCAAACGTACATAAAAGAGAGACACACTACCGATGGTAAGACACGTGCGTCCCTCCTGCAGAATCCACTTAGTTAGTTAGATGGATACTGCAGTTGCAAGAGGGATGATGATAGATCAACTAACGCTGGCCCCTTGGCCCCAGGACCCGGCTGTTGCTGTTGGGGTGAATCCTCTGCCAATGTACTCCGTATCAGCCATTAGCCAGTAACTTACACATCCCACTTGCTTCTGGAATTGAGGGTAACATCGAGTTGAAGCATCTGAGCTTTCTCTACGCCCTAACCGACTCCCATCCGGCAAATCTCTGGAGTGATTGTGTTCAGCGATTTTCGTTTTGTTGGGTGTAATACGCCAGAATGCCTCAGTCCGCACCCAGACAGTATGGCCACTGTGTACACAGTATGAACACACACGGCTGAATCAGACCGCTGCACGGGCTCGATGTGGAGCTGCCACTGCACCCAAGCGGATATGTTGCGTACTGCGTGCTGGGTATTTGTGTAAGCCTCAGCTTGATAAGCACCACCCACACGAACAGACCATTGGGTGCCTGCTGTGTGGAAGAATCGTCTCTATATCACGAGCACATATAGCATCGACCCGCCGTGCGCACGAGGCAAGAAGACTCGGTAAGTTATTCAGTGATTTACAATTCGCTCCACTGGGGCGGGGCCACTCGAGGGTGCCTTGTATGTTGACTGTTATCTTGGGGGCTAAGGACTAACTGCCAAGGCTGCTATGTATTTCGTCTTCTTCTTTCGGTGCTGGAGAATGCATCCTCTCAGCGCCATATTTACCTGTTAGTTGCCGCTGAAATGAAACCCTAAGTTCATTTCACATTCAGTGATTGAACTTACCAACAGCCCCACTCCCATCCCTTCAACACCCGATGAAAACAGGTGGCGCTGTCTGGCACGGGCGATGCCAAAGGGTAAGAAAGAGTAACGGGAAATTCGACGGTTGGCCCCGAAGCTAAATTAGCGGTTTTGTTTTTTATGTTTGAAGTTGCTCCACTTGTATTTTTTAGTGACTGACCAAAGACTGTACGAAGCATTAATCCTTACGCATCAAGCTGACTTGACCCTACTTAATTGTTTTCTGGGTTGTGGACTGAGCATAATTGACTGGGTCAATCCTCATTCTGACAAAGGTACAATACTGTAGGTACTGTAGATGTGCAGTGCGTAAGAAGTAAGACTACACAGGGCACTGTTGTCTGCAGTTTCTCCCGCTCCAGGCCCGGATCATGCCATTATCATCCAAATTACACCAAAACCACACCACTAGATGGATTTCATACACAATAATAAGACAGAGGCGAAGTCAATTCACTGTAAGCCCTGCGGGAGACGAAGAGGGGAAATCTTTCCAAATCGGCACCCATATGGTAATACGGGGCAGGAATTGGGGGCCGGATGGTATGGCTGGCTAGTGGGACGACTTTAGTTGAGCCATTGGCCCACATTCCATGGCATCTGTGTCGTCCTTCATACACCGTACACCCCGTAGACAAATCCTTTGAAGGAAGCTCAGTAAGGTATTGTTCGTGTTTCCTCACTCAATTGAGCAGCAGAGCAAGAAGGAGTAGGCCGCGAGCGGGCGTTGAGCCCCAGTTTGGGGAGGGTAAGTGAAGTTGGAAAAGCCCGTGGCCGGGCTTAGGGCTAAGACTGTCGCCAGTTGCCAGGCGCCAGGCGCTGCAGAGCGCCCCCCGGCACATCCATCTATCGTGTACTGTACTCCGTAGTATGAAGGCATCCCCTTTCATGTTCTAGCATCCTGAAGATCACTCAGTCGTGCGTGCCAGTCTACTGTCAAGGCATTGACGGGGGCATGTATATACACAGTAATATATACACAGTAGATTCTACTACTCCTGAGTAGTGCATCGGGAAAGGGGGTTAGCAAGACTACTACTTACTACTACGTACTGCTGCCACTCACTCTTCGACCCCACCGATCTTCGATTCTCGTTATGACAATCCGGGTCCGCTGCGAACAGCCCTCTTGGCCACACAAGTACCGTCTACTGAGCGATACCAGTCTGCTGGGCGACACCAGTCTACTGGGCAATCCATGCGCTGACTCAGCGTAGCAGCTAGCATGGCTGAATCCCCCGTGCTGCTGCGCTGGGGCTGCTCTACTGGAGACACTCCCTTTGCAGGTGCCAGGAACAAGGAAGCGGGTTCTGTGGATCATGTGTCTAATTAGGCGTCTGCTTCTGCTTCTGTTTCTGCTTCTGCTGTGCAGGAAGAGGGGTCAAGAAAGTCCTTCGGAGAATTATGGAGCTGGGGGTCCCTGTCGATCTGAGATCGTGAGGCGGGACCGCTCTGAAGGATTCGCAGTCTGGGGTCAATTCAGAAGTGCTAGGGGAAGAGGTAGGGCGTCTTGCTGTTGGGCTCTCACGGCGCTGCAGTGCTTTTGGTTGTCGGGTAGGTAGGAAGTTGAGCGGATTGGATGTCAGTATGATGGAGAGGGAATACTATACCAGGTATTAATAGAGATATATTAGTATTTCTTCAAGTTAAAGTGCGGTGGACACAGTACGTGCATTTCTTGTGACTCAATGTTTACACAGTTGTAGTAGATTAAGACAAGTATAGTGCTGGGGCTGTTGTATTGGTTCATTTCATTATTTTTTTTCTTCTCCTCGCTGGTCGTCACTAAACTACTATTGTAAGCTACGACGTGTACAGTAGCAGACCAAGCAATCACGCCACAAGCTCCTCCAGCAAGATCTTCTGCACATCCTCCAAGTAACTCTGCACCGATTCCTCCGCCTCATACGCCTCATTGAAGCTGAACACCACGCGCAACCGATTGCGGAAGGTATACAGGAAGAACATGCTATGGCCCAGCACGATCTCGGTCCCCAGTTTGAAGTCCTCCACCACCACCCCGCGCTGCCTGTCCCCGGCGTCCGACGCATACGACTGCTCGAGATAGCGCTCAATCACCCCCAGACTACTGACCAGCGCGTCGCGGGCGGGCGGCGCGGCCCAGAACTCCGGGCTCTTGACGATCTCCCGCAGCCCACTCGTAACAGCGCCACACAGCGCGACATTCTCCGGGGAGTCCTTGAAGACCCCCTTGTACTGGGCGTCGATGGCGCGCACCGCCTCCGTGAAGGAGGTCGGGGGGTCGAGGATCAGCGGCCAGATGCTGTAGTAGACGGCGGCGGCGTAGCGGCTGGAGTTGTAGGGGGCGGGGAGGTGGTCGCGCAGGTTGAAGTTGTTGACCGTCACGTACTTGGCGGCCGGCTGTGCCGGGTCGGCGTGCTTGACGACGGTGAGCGCGAACGCGGCGTGCACCGCGGCCGTGACGCTGTAGCCATTGCGCCGGCAGGCCTGCACGATCGCCTCGGTGGTCTGGGGCGGGAGTTCCAGCTCGCGCCGCTGCGTGGGCCCTGCGGGCACGGTGCCGATTTTGTTGACGGGCCCGATCCCCGGCATCTGGCTGACGGCCTCGCCGACGATCTGCACCCCCTTGGCGATGGTATCTGCGGCGAGGACGTCCGGGTGACCCAGGGCTTTCTCCAGCGATGGCGGCAGACGCTGTGCTTCGTCCCCGAAGACCAGGGTTGGGTTGGGGTGGGTCAGCGCGGTGAGGTAGGTGTGCCACAGCCACAAGGTGCCGACCCCGTCGATGACGGAATGCGAGGCCCGCAGCACGAGCTGTGCGGGCGAGGCCTGGGGGAGGTAGTAGAGGGTGGGCTGCGCAATCGGCGGGGCCTCCTTGCCAATCGCCTCGCTGTCCAGCGCATCGGAGACGATGAAGGTCCTCTCCAGCCAGGATTGTAGGGCGGCCTCGTCGGGCACTTCGTACACTTTGTGGTCGCCCTCGGTGGCCACGGCGATTTGGGGTTGCTCGTAGCGCAGTTGCTTCCAGGCATACCGTAAAGCCTCCTCCACCTCGGCTGCGGGCAGTTGCAGGTCGACTTTCAGGCGCGAGATGATAATGAACTGCCGCCGGCCCTCGCAGAGCGCACTGGACGTGTTCTCCATGACCGCGAAGAAGCCCTCCATGCCGTTGGCGGGACGCTCCCACCGGCGCTCGGAAACCTGGGACCAAGACATGATTGATGTATGTGATTTGAGAGAGAAAGGTAAGGAGGAAGAAGAGCAATGTGTTGATGGAGGGTAATAGCGGATCGTTTGGGCAGAGTATAAGTTATACTCTCCCACCTCCTCTTGAACTCTCCCTCTCGTAAGCCGGCACAGTCGTCTTGGGGGCTGTACGCTGCATCGAGTTAGAGGTTACAGGGATTCAAAATGAGTCTCATTGTCGCGCCTGCCTGGCAGTGGGGTTTCCTTTCCTCCGTGGGAACGAACAACCAGTCAACTTAGTTGATACTTACAGTAGTATGCGACATTAAGACAACTAGTCCTTGGGGAAATTGGCCCCCAAACTCGCCCGCGCCGCTGGGGGCCAGCGGATCATCGGAATTCCGGCGCACTGCGCACAGTGCACTGATAAGCACAGTGGGTTGATCCACATGTCGGGCGGCCAACCATTGATGTCGAGGCAATCAAAAGAGCCTCATGCTCGTACGGTTCTGAGTTTGCGTGCGGGATAAAGGATTTGAGGGGGACGACGTTGGTGGGTCTTGGTGGCGGATATCCCTCCAGTGAAATCCAAGGGCGTAATTAGGGCTGGCCAGGGAGCAGGTCTAGGCTGCACGGCATTGTTGATCAACGGTATGTATGAGCCCTAACAGAAAAAGTCCCGACATGTCTGGACACATACTCCGTATGTCGACTGCTGCCGAGGCAGTACACCGTAGATCGTACTGTAGTTGTGCCTGTGGCATTGTTGGAATAGTGGGAAGGTTGAAGTAGCCACCGCAAGCACTGAACTCGAGGCAGGATTGTCTGTACAGTATAGGCGGGGACGGACGGAAGGAATCACCCTTAATTGGCCTCATCGACGGCTCTCCCGCCTATTGGATCATTAGCCTTTCAAACCTTCTGATGGCACACTAAACCCCGACAGGTTATAGCACAATCTGCTTGCGCCTTCATCATGTTGTCTCCGTCCTAGACATCAAGTCAGGCCTCTCGTCACTCGAGACGAATACATGTGCCGGCTTTTGCCCCCCCCACCTCCCTTCCCCCCACTGATACGAGGGCTTGTGCCGTCCATACATCGCCTGTACCGACAATACACCGAGTTTGAGAGACATGTTCATGCACGATGAGTAGATTGTCTCTCAGCCGCATTGTCTGTAGCTGGCCAGCGATTCATCGCAAACCCACTTCTGCGGCTCAAGTCGCAGACCCCCCTCCCCTCTCCGAGGAACTTAAGGCAGTGTGTATGCCCCCCTCCCAACCTTGAGAACTTGGATTATTCCATTCATCCACTTTTTCGTAACGTGTCACAGCAAGATGCAACTTCCGGCGGGACTTCAGAGCCTGGCGAATGGGCCTGCCCAGCAGGTAACCCCCACGGAAGATCCCACAGATCCCTCTGCAATTGCAATCATCGGCATGGGTGAGTGGTCCCCGACGTGCCACTGGCAAAAAGCTCACAGACCGCTAGGATGTCGATTACCCGGCGATATCGCCAGTCCCTCCCAACTCTGGGACTTTCTCGCCCAAGACCGAAGCGCCGCCGGGCCCGTGCCCCCCTCGCGGTTCAATCCGGACGCCTACACCGGGGCCAAGGACGAGCCTGCCACCGCAGTAGGCACCGGGGGACACTTCCTGAACCATGACATCCGGCAATTCGATAATCACTTTTTCGGGATCAACAATCGCGAAGCCGCCGACATGGACCCGGCGCAGCGCGGGCTGCTCGAGGTGGTGTTTGAGTGTCTGGAGAGTGCGGGTTACTCGCTCAGTGCGGTTTCGGGGGCCTCAGTCGGTTGCTACGGTATGTTTGTCCCGACTTTTTCTTTCTGCTGGAGAGATGGTTACTTACTTTCCGGCAGTGGCGACGTTCCTACAGGACCACGCAGCCCTCAGCAGCAAAGACGTGGAATGGATGACCCGATACTCGGCCACTGGGATGGGCGCCACCATCCTCGCCAACCGCGTGAGCCACGCCTTCAACCTCACCGGCCCCAGCTGTGTAATCAACACGGCGTGCTCGGCCTCCATCTACGCCTTGCATCAGGCGGTCTCGGCGCTGCGCAATCACGAGTGCGAGTCTGCGCTGGTCGCGGGCGTGAACCTCATTCAGTCGCCGGATCTTCATGTCTCGGTCTCGCAGGGAGGGGTGTTGTCGCCCAGTTCGGTGTGTCATACATTCGACGAATCAGCAGATGGGTGGGTGTATCTTCTTATTTTTTTTTTCTGTTTTCTGGAGTCACCTGGAGCAGAGAGAGAGACTAATACTGGGATGACAGGTACGGTCGCGGAGAAGGCGTAAATGCCATCTATCTCAAGCGACTCGACGACGCTCTCCGCGACGGGGACCCGATCCGCAGCATCGTGCGTGGCACGGCGGTCAACAGCAACGGCCGCACGCCGGGGATCACACAGCCAAGCATCGAGGGCCAGATTTCCGTAGCACGAAAGGCCTATGCGCAGGCTGGCTTGAATCCGGCCGATACAGCCTATGTAGAAATGCATGGGACGGGGACGGCGGTGGGGGACGTGATGGTGGGTTCAGCTCCCCCCCCGATCCATGCAGCAGCGGGGCGTGGGAGGCAACGACTAATGATAACCCACGATTTCTTGTAGGAAGCGCAATCCATCGCCGGGGTGTTCGCTGGACAGTCGCGAGCCCACCCATTACTCGTGGGCGGCCTGAAGCCGAACCTGGGCCACTCCGAAGCCGCCAGTGGGCTAAGCAGCGTGATCAAAGCCACGCTGGCCCTGGAGATGAAGCAATTGCCGCCCACCATCGGGGTCGTCACCCTCAACCCTAAACTCCAGCTGGAGCGCCACGGCATCCAACTCGTCACGCAGACCACTCCCTTCCCCGAGCCAGCCCCGGGACTCGGTCGTCGGGTCAGCATCAATTCGTTCGGGTTCGGCGGGGCGAATGCCCACGCTATCATCGAAGAAGCCGGTCCCCGGGGGCGATTCGCCACAAGCTGCTTGCGTGACAGCCTCACAAATGATGATGATGATGATGCTGTTCACCAAGCCGCACTTCCCAGCACCCACACTCTCCCATTCCTCCTCCCCTTCTCCGCCAGCGACCCCTCCTCCCTCACCCGCCGAGTCGCGCAACTATCCCACCTCTCCTTGCCCCCAGCCAGAACCTCCGACCTGGCGTACACCCTCTCCCAACGCCGCACCCACCTCAAACACCGGGGCTTCATCCTCGCCCGCCCCGCAACCCTCCACCATGACCTCCACCCCACGAACCTCCACCTCCCCAGCCCCTCAGCCCCGACTCTCACCCCCTCCCACCGATTCATCCATGTCTTCACCGGCCAAGGCGCGCAATGGCAAGGCATGGCACGGTCTTTGCTCCCAATCCCCATCTTCGCCAACGCGATGCACAGCCTGGACGCCGCCCTCGCGAGTCTACCCCACCCGCCCGACTGGACCATCGCCGGGGTCTTGCAGGACCAGTCGGACAAGTGTCCGATCAACGAAGCCGCGTTCGCGCAACCCCTGACGACAGCAGTGCAGATTGGACTCATCGAGCTCCTGCGGGCGTTACGGATCCCAACGCATGCGGTGGTCGGGCACTCGTCGGGCGAGATTGCGGCGGCGTATGCGGCGGGGTGGCTGGATGCGCGGGAAGCGATTGCGCTCGCGTATTATCGTGGGTCTGCGGTGACGCGATGTGCACCGGTGGGGGCGATGGCTGCTCTGGGGGTCGGAGTGGAGAAGGCGGAGGAGTGGATCCATCGGACAGTTCCTGCTGCTGCTGCTGGTGCTGGTGGTGATGGTCAAGCACAAGTGAGGGTGGCGTGCATCAACTCCCCCGAAAACGTCACGGTGAGCGGCGCGGCGGAGGGGGTGGAGGCCCTCGTCGCAGCCCTAACGGCAGAGGGTACATTGGCCCGCACGCTCAGGACCGGAGGCAAAGCGTACCATTCGCAGCAGATGGAGGTGGTCGGGCCGGTGTATGAGGCTTTGCTGGAGGAGGCCGGGATCTTCGCGAGGACTCGACCGTCGGAGCGCAATGGGGGGGATTCCCCCTTCATGGTCTCGACGGTCCTGCGCCAGCAGGTCGGAGAAGCAGACGTGCGGACCACGGCGTACTGGCGCCAGAATCTCGAGTCGCCGGTGCATTTCTCCGACGGACTCCGCGGGGTGGTTGCTGGGTTGTTCGGGGCGGAGGTGTGCTTCGTGGAGGTCGGGCCGCATCCTGCGCTTAAGATGCCGGTGTTGCAGACCCTGGGCAGCTCGACCGCTTACTTCGGGACTCTCCAGCGCGGACAGGATGCGCTGAGTGCGGTGCTGGAGCTGGTGGGGGGGTTGTTTGCGAGTGGGTTCCCCGTGAGCTTCGCGCAGATACAGACTCTCTATCCGACCCGCACTGGCCCCCCGCCCAAGGTCCTCCACGACCTTCCCCCGTATCCCTGGCACTACGACAAGATCCTGTGGAATGAATCGCGAGTCAGCCGTGAGGTCCGCGAGAGAAAGTTCCCGCGCCATGAGTTGTTGGGCACCCCGGTGGCGGGGGGCAATCGGATCACCTTCGGCTGGCGGAACCGGCTGGTGCTGGACCATGTGCCGTGGCTGCGAGACCATCAACTGGGCGACGCGACGGTCTTTCCGGCCACCGGATATCTTGCCATGGCCATCGAGGCGCTGCTCCAAGCACGCGACGTGGAGATGAGCCGGGATTTGACGGGACTCTCCGTCAGCTTCGAGCGCGTGGACCTGCCGAATGCCCTGCCCGTCGGGGCCCAGGAGGCGATTGAGCTCTACACGGAACTCTCCCTCCGGGCGATTTCCAACCTGACCAGCTCGCGGGAGTGGTTTGACTTCCAGATCGCCTCGATCGCGGACCAGGGCCCCATCATCCGCGCCCGCGGAACCCTCAAGTTAGAACCGGGGCTCCCAAGCCGGGCCCAACCCTCCCGGTACGCCGACAGTCGGCTGGTTGCAAAGAGCCGGCGGATGTGGTACGAAAGTATGCATAAATGCGGGTTGCGCTACGGACCCCACTTCCAGCACATGCAAGACATCCGGACCCCAGACACCAAGGGGGGTGGTGGCATGTATGCGCAGGCCAGAGTGGCGGATCTCCGGCCCCCGTGTCCAGGGGTGCAGGCAGCACCGCGCTATCTCATCCACCCGGCAGTCCTGGATAACGTCCTGCAGGCCGGTCTGGTGGCCGCCACGGGAGGTCAGCTCGAAGCAATGGTCGCCAAGGTCCCGAAGAGCTTCAGCCGGATCGTACTGACGGCGCCGTCGTCGGCGGAACAGGAGGCGACGATCCGCGCCGCGGCAACGGTGACCGGCTTCGCCAGCAATGACATCCGCGCTGTGTTGCTGGGTGCTGACGACAACCCCCTGGTGCAGATCGAGAAGATGAGCATCACGAGATACTCGGGCAGTGAGGAGTTCCAGGAGGAAGTCCGCTACCCGTTGTACCGGTTCCTCTGGAAGCCAGACATCGACCACCTCCCAGACGACGCGGCGTTTGCGGCAGCCTTGGATTATGTTCGCTGCCATACCGACCTTGGACTGCTGCCTGATTCGAGTCGGAACCTCGTGTTGGCCCTGGACCTTGCCGTACATAAAGATCCGAACGCGGAGATTCTGTTTCTCTCCGCCGACCTGTCGTTGGCGGCCCTGGCGCTGGCGGAGGTTCTCAAGGCGCATACCGTGCACCAACGTTGCAACGGCTTCCATTTGGGCCGCTTCAGCGCAGACGGTCAGTTAGAAGTGGCTGCGCTGCACCGTTATGCGGCGCCGTTGGGGATGGAGTCTTTTTCCTCGTGGGTCGCAGCCGCCCCGGCGCAGAAATTCAGTCTGGTTGTCGTGGGCGATCAAACACCCCATCTCGATCGGGTGGCGAGCTATTCCCACGCTTCGACGCGGGTCATTGATGCCAGCCATGATCACGGCGAGCGTCTTCTGACCGAAAAGTTCGTCCTTGCCCTCACTCTCCCGAGCAGCGCAGGGTCTCCCATTCGGATGCTGCGTCCAGCCTCCGCCGAACCAGGCCTCGCTCATCAATTCGACAATGTCCTCCTCATTCGTCGCACGCCGATCCAGGAGGACGACGATCGCCTCAAGGATTGTCTCCAAACGGAGCTCGCGCTGCCCGTCCGCAGTTGCGAACTGACCCACATTGGACCCATCGGCGACAAGACCCTAATCGTGTCGACCGTGGAGCTCGACCGCGATGTCATGGCGCGAGCCACGCCCGAGGAGTACACGGCCATCCAACATCTCCTCGCAAAGCCGGTCCAAATGGTCTGGACCAGTGGATCCGGAGCCCATCCGGATGCCGACCCCACTCGGGCCGTCTTCCACGGGTTGGCCCGCGCCATCATGATCGAGCAGCCCGCCACCCAGATCTTCTCGTTGGAGCTCGGCCCGCACGCTCGCCCCCGCGACATCGCCTGCCATGTGCGGCGGGTCCTCACGCGCCCCGAAGGCTGTCCCCCAGACTACGAATACCTGCAGAGCGAGTCGGGGCTTCTCCTCGTGAGTCGCGGTGTGCCCGATGAGCGCATGAACGACCACTTCCGGACCAAGAACCAAGGCATCGCCGTCCCAACGCCCCTGGGCAGCGCCGGCCCGATCTCCCTCTCGCTGGCCAAGCCCGGCCAGCTGCAATCCGTGCAGTTTGTCCGGACGCCCCCACCGCGGCTTGGACCGGAGGAGGTGCGGGTCCAGACGAGCTGGATCGGCCTGAATGCAAAGGACGTCTATGCGCTGGCGGGGAGAGTGGAAACGCCCGGGGCGACCTGCAGCACCGAGTTCACGGGCACGGTGGTAGCCGTGGGGTCCGCCGTGCGCGACCTCGCCGTGGACGACCGGGTCGCGGTGATGTACCCGGGGCAGTTCAGCTCCCAGCAGGTCGTGCCCGCGCACGCCTGCGTGAAGCTGCGCCCCCACGAGGATCTGCGCAGCTTCGCATCCGTCTTGGTCGTCTTCGCGACCGCGCTCTATGCCCTGGAATCGCGCGCGGGTCTGCAGCCCGGCGAGTCGGTGTTGATCCATTCCGCCACCGGTGGCGCCGGCCTTGCCGCGATCCAGGTCGCACGGATGATGGGGGCGGAGATTTTCGTCTCGGTGGGCACGGAGGAGAAGAAGCAGTATCTGATTGACCATCATGGCATCGAGCCCGACCACATCCTCCACTCCCGCCAGGCGGGATTTGCCGCGCAGATCCGGGCCCTGACGAATGGCCGCGGCGTGGACGTCGTCCTCAACTCGCTGGTGGGCGAGCTGCTGCTGGAGAGCTGGGACTGTCTAGCCGAGTTCGGCCGGTTGGTGGAAATCGGGAAGAAGGATATCACGGAGCACAGCCGGCTGCCCATGGACGGGTTCGCACGAGGCACCACCTTCACGGCCTTTGACTTGAGTGCCCTGGCGACCTCGCGGGCCCCTGCCGTGCAGCGCGTCTTCCACCAGCTCATCTCCCGGGTGGTCGCACTGGTGCGCAGCGGAGGTCTCCAGCCCGTCCAGCCGCTCCAAACGTTCACAGCGGCCGAGCTGGGGCCGGCCCTCCGCCATTTCAACCACCCAGCCCGCCTAGGCAAGATCGCCATCTCCTTCGAGGACCCGAATCTCTTGGTGCCGGTGGTCCCGGAGCGCTACGCCACTCAGCTCCGCCCCGATAAGAGCTACCTCATGGTCGGATGCTTGGGAGGGCTGGGCCGCAGTCTGTCGCACTGGATGGTGCGCCGCGGCGCGAAGCACTTCATCTTCCTGGGCCGCAGCGGCACGCAGAAGCCCGCCGCGCAGCGCCTCATCGACGATCTCGAGCAGCAGGGCGCCCACTGCACGGTGATCCGCGGCGACGTGACCTGCCCGGCGGACGTCGAGCGCGCCGTCGCCGCCGCGGACCCGGTCCCGCTGGGGGGCGTCATCCACGCCGCGATGGGGCTGCACGAGGCGATCTTCTCCGAGATGAGCCACGCCTCGTGGCGCGAGGGCACAGCGGCCAAGATCGAAGGCGCCTGGAACCTGCACCACGCGCTATCCGCCCACAACCGCGACCACGCGCTGGACTTCTTCATCATGACCAGCTCAATCAACGGCAAGATCGGCACGGCCACCGAGAGCAACTACTGCGCGGCCAACAACTTCCTGGACGTGTTTGCGCGCTACCGCCGCTGTCTGGGCCGGCCGGCGCTCTCGCTGGGGCTGGGCGCCATCGCCGAGGTCGGGTATCTGCACGAACACTCGCACATCGAGGAGCTGCTGCTGCGCAAGGGCATCCGCTTCCTGACGGAGGGCGATGTGCTCCAGATCTTTGATCTCGCGCTGGCGGCCCACCAACCGACCGACGCGCATCCTCGGGACGCCCTCGCGCAGTCGCTGCTGCTGTCCGGCGTGGAGGTGACCACCCTCGAAAGGTATCACCAGCAGGGGTACAATACTTTCTGGCATTCGCTGACGGACGTGCGCTTTGCCGTCCTGATTAACGCCCTGCGGCGGTCCTTGAACTCTGGGAGTAGTGGTGGTGGTGGTGGGGGAGGGAACGGCGGCGGCGGCGCGACGGCGGAATCCACGCTGCAGAGTGCCGTCGCGGCCGGAGATCGAGAGCAGGTCCTTGCGGCCGTCCTGGCAACGGTTACGCAGAAGCTGTCGTACATGGTCCTCATCCCCGTGGAGAAGATCGATGTGAAGGCCTCGTTGGCCGAGGTCGCCATGGACAGTATGCTGGCGTCGGAGCTCAGGCAGCATATCTTCAGTGTGGCCCGGGTCGATGTCTCGTTTCTGACCATCATGAATCCCAGTACGAGTGTATGGAGTCTGTGTGCATCGATTGCGGATGCTCTGCTGACGCGGGGGAAGTGAGAGCGACTGCGCTCTAGCTCGATGAGGTGCACATTATACTTTACAAGGATGGATTGAAGAAGGCGTTTGATGAGATGATGCATGATGCAGTGCTTGATGGAGTGCTTGACTTGATGAAAACTACCGGCGGCGTGCGGGGGAGAGAAGATGTCGGAGCAGGTCACATGATGATCATCTACCACAATAGATTCAATCAGTAGGAGTGAAGAGAGAGGATGATATGATGATGCCTTCAGCCTGTGCAGCTGACAGGGTCCTTACCAGTTTTCAAAACCACTGCTTGATTCCTGACTAAGTCCTCAGTCACAGCGAGGTCGAGATCCTACCTTGATATTGAGCATCCCCGGGCGCCTTCAATGTATCCAGAGTCCAGAATTTATCAAACTGCCACGAGTACGAAGTCTTATATACACATGAAGACAAAGTACTGATGGACTGCCGCTCAAAGTCCCGGTAAAAGACCTATTTGTATGTGCTCAGTAGAAGAAGTAGTCAGAGCAATTCCCCATGTGCACCACGACTCATGAGGAAGATGGACCACTGGCAGGAGCGAGGTGAGGTCTAGGAGGTCGTCAAGGCTTTTATTTTAAGGGCATTTGCGAGGATTGTGATCATAAATCTACCTCAGCAGAGATACGCGACGCAGTATCACTCAAACAACGCAGTCTCTGACGTATCACTCCCGACTGAAGCAGATGCTGTGCTCAACTCATATCATAGTATCATAGTTGATTGAACCTGGTATAAAACCGAAACCTACTGCTACCATAACCCATACGTATACGCATATCCATCATCCAAACCCAATTATATCAGTACACTTGCCACATCACACATCACAGCAGACTAACTGCACCACCCAAAAAAATTTGTCGCGCTCTAAGGGTTGTCCAAACAAGAGGTCATGCATTGTCTTTTCTCGACACGGGAAATGCGATGCGATGCGATGCAACGAAACCCAAACTCACTTCATCACGGCACGGCCATCATGAATCAATCCTCCCATTCCTCATCCAGCTGATCTATCAACCGGTTCGCAGCATCGGGGTCGCCTCGTCGCCCGTAGCTGGCGGAGGAGCGTGTGTGGCCGAGGGTCGGGGAGCGATTGACCCGGAAGAGCCGGCCGATGGAGGAAAGCAGGATGATGAACATGTCCTATAATGCGCCGCACGGAAAAAAAATGAATCAGCCATGATTCCACAGGATAGTATATATTCACACCAGCGAAAGTGGCGCATTCAAAATAAGATATCTTGGGTCACGGGTACAGTGAAAACTGGCTATCATAATCTAGAGCAACACCAAAACCAGAGCTGTTTTACTGATGCCAGCATAGTAGGATAGATAGCAACAAAGGGGTACAACAAGGGACAAAAAAAACGATAGTCACGGCCTCAATATCCCCGCCGCGACTCGCTCCAGACCAGCCAAAGCGAGACACTCAATCCAGTCGCGAGGTCGGGAGTCGGGGACTGCCTGATTCTTTGTACGAGGGCAGGTCGCGGTAGACAAAACGAGAGCGACGGCACGGCACCAACGCGAGGATACTTACTTTGACAAAATCAACCATGCCTGCCCACAGGCTGTAATTCGGGCACTGCCGCCAGCCGCGCTGGTGCATGACAGTCCGCTGATACGCGCAGCCACCCACCAGATAAGCTGCGACCGCGATCAAAGCACTGTACACGATTAGAACCTCAGATACACCCAAGAAGAAGACAGTCACCCACATGATGCCAAAGACTCCCGCAGGCGACAGCCCCTGGTTCGGCGGGATCGGAGCGGTCGCTCCGCACGCGGCCGAGCTGCGCACCTCAAAAAAGTACGTGCATTGGTCCATGGTACCGACAAAAGAGACGGTGGCCTGTGAGGGCGGCGAGTCGCGCTCGCACAGGAACGACATGATGGTGGATTTGTTGCGGGTGCTGCCATTGCCTAGGTAGTCGCCCGGACACGGGGAGCCATCCGTGTAGTTCATGACCAATTTGCGGCCCCGGAAGAACGGATCGGACGCCTGCTGCCTGCTCCCCTGTCAGCAAGACACGACACGACACGCTGGTCGCAGGAGACCTACCCAATGGAATATATCTTGCCCTCCTTCTCGTAGTATGCGCTGACGTTCTGCCAGCGCGCGCGATCCACCCCCACGACATCCTGCACGTCTTCCAGCACGGGCGCACAGATGTTGACGGTGAAGTTGGCCCCGTAGTCGTGGCCCTTGGCGTGCCAGCTGCCTTCTCGGGCGTTCTTGCGAGGCTTCTCCCCGTCGGCCGGCGGAGGCGATAAGGAAATTGCATTGAGATCGTAGAAGAGACCGGTGGTGGGGGAGCGGACCACACAGGGTGAGAGGGAATCTTTCGAGCCCGAGTCGGCGGCTGCGTATACGGGCAGAAAAGGCGCTGCGACACAGAAGAGGAGCTTGAGCAGAGACGATGAAAGGGGCTTCATTGTGAGCGAAGAGCAGCCGGGATCTTCGGCGATAACAGCTACTCCGACTGGCCGAGAACAGATAACAAAAGACAATCCTGTTGTCTGGGGAGATGGGAGAGAGCGACGAGGTTCGAGAGTCGGCAAAGCAGCAAGACCAAGAAGGAGATGAAGGATAAAGGAGAGACCGGATATACGGCCACCGGAGGGGAGAAGAAGTAGCCGCGGCGTCGTGGATGTCGTCGTAATGTGCGGAGATGAAACGTCGCAATGCGGAGATCGGAGTCGGTCCCGATCGGGATGATGCATTGAAGTGAGTTGCTGACTCAGCCACGGCATAACTCACTAATGCTCAGACCCACTCACCGCCCGGCTGAGCTCCATCCGGCTCGGACCAGCAGCTTCAAGCCAGGGTCATCTATAATTGCCTCGCGCCAATTGATCAATCTGACTGGTGCTCTCAGCAACTGTCTATCCCGAGATGGCTTCCAAGAAGAACTCGACGAACAAAGTGCCCATCCAGCCCGTGCCCGAGAAGCGCGGGTATGAGTTCGGTGGCCCGTATGTGATATTCTCCACTCCTTGAAAAGAGAGAGAGGAATGCTGACCCATGCGCAGAGTCGGCGCCTTCGGAATCGTGTTCGGTCTTCCTCTTCTCGTCTACACCTTCACTTTCCTGTGCAATGATGTCTCCGGCTGCCCGGCACCGTCCCTGCTCCACCCGTCAACCTTGACCCTCGAACAATTGAAGGAGGAAGTGGGCTGGCCGAAGGGAGGCGTGGCGGATCTGTATAGCACGGAGGTGACCCTCTGGGTGCTCAGCTACTATTTGCTCAGTCTGGTGCTCTATGTGTTTCTCCCTGGCCAGGAAGCCAATGGCACCGAGTTGGCATGTGGCGGTAGACTGCGGTACAAGTTCAATGGTTAGCGCCCCCAACATTTGTGTGAGAGGCAGCTCTGACTTGGAAGAAACAGCATTCCCGACGGCGGTCTTGATCCTCTCCGGCCTGGCGACATGCACCTACATGTACGGCTCCGACTTCATTGTGTGGACGTTCCTGTGGGACAACTATGTGCAGGTCCTGACCGCGAACCTCCTGATCTCGACCGCGATCGCCGTCTTCGTCTACGCGAAGAGCTTCACGGTCCCGGCGCCTGGCCAGCCCAACCCAGAGCTGCGGCAATTGGCGCCTGGCGGCCATACCGGCAACGTCTTGTATGACTTCTTCATCGGCCGAGAGCTCAACCCTCGCGTGCGGCTGCCTATTCCCTTTGTGAGCGAGGCTTCGCGGACCATCGACATCAAGGCTTGGTGCGAGCTGCGGCCGGGTCTGCTGGGGTGGATCATTCTGAACCTGTCCAACATCGCCCGCCAGCACCGCACCTACGGCTACGTCACCGACTCGATCATCCTGTCCACCTTCTTCCAGGCGTTCTACGTGCTGGACGGCCTCTACATGGAGCCCGCGCTCTTGACCACCATGGACATCATCATGGACGGGTTCGGCTTCATGCTGTCCTTCGGGGATATGGTCTGGGTGCCCTTCATCTACAATTTCCAGACGCGGTATCTGGCGGTCTTCCCGCTGGAGCTGGGAGTCCAGGGGATTGTGGCGGTGCTGGCGGTGACGGCGGCGGGCTACTCGATCTTCCGCGGCGCCAACAACCAGAAGAACCGGTTCCGCACCGACCCCAACGACCCGCGCGTCAAGCACCTCAAGTACATCGAGACCGCCAGCGGCTCCAAGCTGATCACTTCCGGATGGTGGGGTTGCGCGCGCCACATCAACTACCTGGGTGACTGGCTGATGTCGTGGTCGTACTGCTTGCCCACGGGAATCGCGGGATACGTGGTCATCCAGGGGATCAACCCGGCCACGGGCGACCTGCAGAAGCAGGTGGTGCAGACACCGGAGGTCCGCGGTTGGGGCATGGTCTTCACCTACTTCTTTATGCTCTACTTTGGGGTCTTGCTGATCCACCGCGAGCGTCGCGACGAGGAGAAATGCAAGAAGAAGTACGGCTCCGACTGGGAGCGGTACACTACCCTGGTGCGTAGCCGCATTGTCCCGGGGATCTATTGATCGCCACCCGTTACGGCTGGGGAAGAGGGGAGACAAAAGCCTGCTTTGTCGGTGAGTGCTTTGGAATAATGATGGGTTCGGGGTTTCTTTCATGTTCGTGTTTAATTTTTCCAATTGTCCCCTAGGGTGTAACCCACTAGGCGTTTTAATTCAGAAGTATTTAATATCACCGTTTGCGCTTCTTGGGGTTTGTGTCGACCAAGACATCCAACCCCCAGTCCTCGTCGCCGGGATTCGGCACCCAAGGAACCAGGACGGTTTTGGCTTGCTGTCGAGCTCGTTCGCGCGCCTGGCCGGGTGGGGTGGTGGTGGTGATTGCTTTCTTGAAGTCGGCATAGCTCGCTGTACCGACGATCTGTCGTAGACGGTTGATATCTGTAGCAGACACCCCGTGGAGGACCGTATTGCCTGCTCCTGCTGCCCCCTCGCCCACACTGTGACTGCCCCCGCAGACAATCTCCCGCAAGGACCCCCACATCCTCGCCCGCGACAGCGCCGACGCGCCGCGCACCACCGGCGCCGATGCTTTACTCCCCTGCTTCACCCCGCCGATGAGGCTCTCATACAACCCCGTGCGGCTCCCCGCCAACTTGGGCAGCTGCTTCGCGCCGCTCGCGGGGCCGAACACCACCTGGTCCGCTGCGACGGAGGGTGCAGCCACCCAGACCGCCGAGATCGTCCCGGGCTTGTACTTGGTCATCGCGGAGGCAACCGGCGCGTCCCTCGGTTTACCGTATTGCCAGAGCGAGTCGGCGAGGGGAGAGGGAATGGAGAGGACTTTGAAGGGGTGGAACCGGTAGCCTGAACTGTCTTCTTCCGCCTTGTCTTTGTTCGACCCCAACCCACCCCTAGTATTCTCATCGGCGGACAGCAAAGGAGCAAGATCCCCCCCCACTAACCCCCTCATCCTCCCTTCCCGCCCAAATGCCCGCTGACACCCGACCTCGCTGATCTCCGTCTCGGGCAGCACCACCCCGGCCAGATACGCGGCGGGCGTCACGGCGACCAGCAGCGCGGTGGAGGGGCTGAGCAAGGAGGTCACCTGGCGGAGGGCGAGCTTGTCGGAGCAGGATTTGCTTTTTGTGGAGTCTGCGTCGGCGCGGGCGGGTTTGCGGCGGACAATACCGAGTTTGGAGAAGTGGGCGCGGCCATCAAGGAGGGTGGCCGTAGCGGAATCGCTAGTAGTTGTTGTTGTGGTTGCGTGCGACGGCGTCGGTGCATCGGATTCTAGATGAGGCGCTGAGCCCGATCCTCGCTCCGTCGAAGGACAGGAACTCTGCACCCACGGCGTGGGATCCTCCTGGGCTGCCATGGTGAGCTCCATACTTGCGTCGCCGCAGGGGGCGCAGGTGCAGCACATGTAGACCTTGAGGTCTGGATGGAGTTCGAAGGGGGGATCAGGTTGTTGTTGTTGCTGCTTTGCGTCTCGGCGACGGATGAATCGTGATGACGATGTTCCTGTATGTCTCTCCGCCAACAACCCCTTCACTTCCGACAGCACCCAGTGATTGAACGCCCGGAGCGCCAGCACCTCGGCGTGCCAATCATGGAGAACGAGGCCTTTGCAGGCGGGTAGCTGGGAGGCCGCGAGACATTTGGCGCCTGATCTGTGATTGTCAGTCGAAGGGCGAGCACAGTGCTGGGGCCTTTTCGGGTCTGCTGTAGAATGTCTTCAGGACGGGGGAGACGCACGTCACAGCGACACAAGTCAGTTCCTCATCCGGGGTGTTCTCGCCTGTTGACCCTTCAATATTAGCAAGAGACTGGGCCTGAAGACAGGAGGGGTATACCTCTGACTACGACCATCCCCGCCATGGGAATCCACTCTCTGGTTCCATCGTCGCGGATGATGGGTTTGCTGCGCGCGGGCAGCGCATCGAAGTGCGTGTGGACTAGGCGCGCGATGCGAGAGGGGAGCTCATCTTTCATGATCGAGAGAGATGCAGAGGAAGAGTCTACACAGATAGATATAGTTTTGAGAACCCGACCGGGAAGATAGAGAGGGAAAAAAGCCAACCTTGAGATAGGTTGATTGATAATCTACTCCGTATGTAACTGACTCTCCGATAAGTTAAGTTGACTCGGTAGTTATCGATAACCACACCATATCCCCACATCACGTGTCGCTGGCAGTTTCAACCTCACCTCCGCGGCGAAACATCCCCAACCAACTACAACCAACCAACTACAACCAACCAACTACAACCAACTACAACCAAATTATCTACAACCTACTAATACAACCTATCTACATCACCACCCCTCCCAACCCTCACAAACAGATAAATCAACAAAATGGCCGATAAACTCCGCACCCTCCAAAACCTCGAGGCGATGCAAGCCCGCTACATCGGCACCGGCCACGCCGACACGACCAAATACGAGTGGCTATCCAACATCGTGCGCGACAGCTACGCCTCGTACATTGGCCACCCGCCGATGCTGTCGTATATGGCGGTGGGGATGGGCGAGTCGAAGGAGAAGGTGCGCGCGGGGATGATTGAGAAGATGGTGCGCGGGGCAGGGAATCCGCCTGAGGTATTTCTGTCAAGAACCTTGGGAGTAAGGGGGGCAGGCTGGCTGACTTTGAATTTAGACGCAGGAATGATCTTTTTTCATGTTATTCGGTTCGTTCTAAGGTGGGGGGGCTATTTGAGAGGGGTATTGGGGATTGATTGATTGATCGAGTGATGTTCGATTGCTGGCTGTGAAGTCAAGACTTCATGGGACTGGACTTTACGGAAGGATAGGATGGGAACTGTGGATTTTCAGCTGAATGGTTTACAGCGGAGCAGGCTGGATGTACCATCTGGGGAGGCATTTCATCACATTATTGAGGCATTTCATCACGGAAGGCAAGGCAAGGAGTTATGGTGGCGCTGGGATTTAATCGAGTTACAGCTCATTTTCAGTGCAGCAACTCATTGATAGTATCATATCATATTATTCATAGGTACCTATTATACCACTGATGCGCATCAACTCCAACCCATAAACTGTACATGCAACCACTGAGTTCCAGTAATAGTTTCTGCTTCACAGCGATCACTTCTGACTTTTCTCATCTAACTTTGTCGTCGAGGCAGCAGCAGCAGCAGCAGTAGCAGCAGGCTCCTGCGCCGCCAACCTCGTATTCTCCGCCTGCAGCGACCCGATCAGATCCAACCATTGCTTGCGCTCCGACCGCAACCGCTCGACCTCCTTCTTCAGCATCTCGACCTCGCGCCGCAGCGCCTCCGCCTCGCCCCGCGCCCGCGTCTTCTCCTGCTTCTCGGCGTGCTTCTGCTGGCGCGCCTCAATCTTCGACGCCTCCTTGACCTGCTCCTTCTCGATCTTGCCCAGCTGTTTCAGCAACTTCGACTCTTCACTGAACAGCCCGGACGCCACCTTGTGCATCCGCGCCGCCTCGTGGCGGTCCTTGCTGCTGGGGGACGCATGGTTGGCTGCGCTACTAGCGGCACTGTTGTTGGACGCCACGCCGCGGTGCATGCTGCTGCCCGGGCTGCTGCTGAGCTGCTCGCTGCCTGGGTCTCCGGCCGCGGCCAGCGCCGCCGCAGATGCCTTGTCCCGCTTGCCGCTTTCAGCAGCCCCTAACGCGTCAACATGCAGAGCCTGGATCTCCGAGCGCACGCGGTCCAGCTGCGCCTCGACGTTGCGTTTGCGCTCCGCCAGCTTGGCCAGCTGCTTCTCGTGCGAGGAGAGTTTGCCCTTTTTGTTAAGCGTCATCTGTTCGATGGCTGAGACGTTCGGCGGCGCTTCGACGGCGGAGTCGAAGGCCGAGTTGGCGGAGAAGGCGACGGAGGCTTTCCCCTGCGAGGCAGCATCATTGAACTCGGGGTCGGCAGGCTTGTCGAGGGTCGCTGGTGCGGCCGGCGGAGCTTCTTTGTGTTCTGTCGGATAGCCATTCTCCTGCGCATCGCTGACCACGGACGACTGGCGCGAATGGCCGTGGGGGAGGTAGTCCAGCACAGCCTGCGGAGCATACCGCTCCAGTCCGGCATTGACCAGATACGCAAAACTCGCAATGAGACCGTGGTGCTCGACCTCGGTGTCTACAAAGTCCGACTCACTCGACTCCTCCGACAGACTGTCCTCGTCCTCCTCCGCCGATGCCTCCGCGCCCGCGTCATTCAAGTGCTGCTGCTGCTGCGGGTGATGCGGGTGATGCGCGTCCGTCGACTTGCGATGATGCGCATGCTTCTTATGGGTATCATCCCGACAAGCCCAATTCAGGAACTTGATCGCATCCTGACAGATACTCTTGGGAGTCCCCTTCTCCACCATCCAGCGCGGAATATTCCCCCCGGGATCGCTTCTCGTGACCATGACCCACTCCACCGGATTCATCTTCTTGCCCGGCGCTCCCTGCACATCATCCGCAGGAAGTTCATCATAGACCGGAAGCTCCCGTATAAACTCCACACTCTCATACTGCCCGCGAATGTAATGCTGCGTCGGCGGCACATCGGGATGCTCGCACGGCCGCGAAACCATCATCCACCGCCTCGACCCTTTCCCGTTCCCGTTCCCATTCCCCTTCGTCTGCTCCTCCGCTCCGCCCAACCCATCAAACCCCTCCGTCACCACCTCCCAGCTAACAATCAGACTCACAAAGTCCCGCGCGGCCGTGGGCTTGGGGAACATGGCGGACACATGATACACCTGCACCCGACCCAGCACCCGCTCCCCATCCTCGCTCTTCACCTCGATATCCTCGACCAGGCGCTCCGCTCCAATCCCCCTAACAGCCTGGTCGGGCGGCCTGCCTTTCTGGATCTGCTGCTGGTTCATGCGGAGCGTGTGACCCATCTCGCCGCTCAGCTTGGTGTGCCATTTCGTGAACGGCAGGCCCTCGAACACGCTGCGTCGGCCGAACCAGTGGCCCTTGCCGTCTGAGCCGGGGAGCTTGTAGATCGGGATGTGGAGGGGGTTCTCCTTGGCGGAGGAGACCTTGATGGGTTTGCTCCATTCTTTGTGGTGGGGGTTCGAGGGGTCGGAGGGTGGTGGGGGTGGGAGCTGTTGCTGGGATTCAAGACTTGCGGTAGTAGTAGTAGCAGTAGTGGTAGTCCCGACAATTGTAGAGGTAGGGGAGGTGAGGATCTGAGAGGCGCGGGCGGAGGACGGGCGGAGAACCGCTGCGGCGGCAGGGTGGTTGGGATTGCTGTTGTTGTTTGGTGCCGATGGAGGCTCTTCGTCAAGGGGAGGTTCGGGAACGGATTCGATGATCAGCCGGGCTTTGGTGGAGAGGTCGTTGAGATAGGCGCGGAGGGCGGCGGGGTCGCTGCTGGGGATCGAGTCCCACGTCGTGGGCGAGAGGCACTCGAGTGCCTCTTGGAGGTCGGCCATCTCTTCCCTCTGGTTTTGCTTCGTTGTATTCTTCTCTTCTTTTGATGTGAACTCGGTCTATGCGTGTCAACAGCGTTTATAGGGTCATGGGTAGAAAGGATGAGCGATGATGACGGGCTCGTGTTCTATTTGATTCCGGCCAGGGCTGAGTGAATGAGATGAGCGAGGAGACGAGGGGAAGCAGAATGCAACAGGACCACGATAGTTACCGGGTTTCAACCAGGAAGGGAATGATAAGCACAGCAAGGGAATTGCGGGGAAATTACTTCATATGCGAACAGTCGTTCATAGTAATGATAAGTGATGACGCTGGAGGAGGAGGAGGAGGAGGAGGAGGAGGAGGAGGAAGTTGATCCAATCCATCCGTGAATCCGCCCTGCTGGGCTGGCCTTGACGTCATCCCGGAGCCCGGACTCTTTGTATTGCTTAAGTTAGCGCCCGCGGAGTCTCCAAAGGCTTGAGTTGCCCCCCTCCCCCCACAACTACTATACAGTGCAGTACTTATATTCCCAGCAACATTAATCGCTGTCAACTTCATTGGTTGATTATATCTCAGACGGTAAATACATCTTCCCACTCATATACGGAACAGCAGAATGACGAAGAAGAGGGGAGAAAGTAAAAAAAGAAAAGAAAAATAAAAGAAAAAAAGGAACAACGCAAGACGCGGGCGCAGCCCCTTCCAGCATCCGATTCCCGCCCGCTCCAAACCCTCCTCCGGGGAGAATTGGTCATGCGGACAAGCACATCCAGGTAACCCACAAAACGGAAAAAAAAAAAAAGAGTCAAATCCAGCCTGGACGATAGGAGATGAACCTATCAGGACCAAGCAAGTCCAAAGAAAGTCCAAAGTCGCCTTCGGGGCCCCGTTGCCCTCGCGGACCGGAGCAACGCAGAGGTCACAGACCTTAAGGTGCGTTGGCCCTGGTGGTGTGTGGCTGCCACAGACACGCCCACAACCAAGTCAACGAGAGCAACAGACAACTCCCGAATCGACTTAGCACAAACCTTAGCCCTTGTTGGTCAAATCTGCCGTCATAGTAGCATCACAGATGCTTTCCTGCTGACCAGCAGCGCCGCTGCGCATCTTGAGCCAGCTCATTCCATCGGATACCGGTATCCAGATGGGCAGGCTGGGGCCATAATGCGGCCTGGGAGAGGCGTCCAGAGCAATGCACAGCATTACCCGGCTCCTCACCCACACCAACAGCGCCAACGAAACATAACGATGGTTGAACATTCCTCATCCGAATCATATCCCGTGCCGCGAGGCGAACCAGGTCTTCATGACGTATATTGGAAAAAAAAAAAAAAAAACAAGCAATCACAAATATAGCCGACCCGCCGCTTCTTGATGCTGTAGAACCAAGTAAACACACGCTAGCGCTGTTCGAACCACAAAATAGAGCAGAAAAAAGAGCCAAAAGAACATAACCGTAATGAAGAATATAGACGAGATGGAGTATCATGTATGTCGCAAAGTTCAATCAAGGAGAACGCCGTCATGGATGCCAATTAGTCGGATGTTTGTCGTTGGGAGGATCTGGCCCCGGTCGGTCAAAGGGTGTTGATGCTGCAAAGATCGGGCCGGGTGGCATGGGCGAGCGGGAATATCCGGGCTGTCGGGTCGGACCCTGGGATCTGTTTCCAAAAAAGACACGCCACGTCAGGGAGACCGTTAACATCAAGTGTCTGGTTCCATGGACTCGTTTACATTATTGTCCCGTAGGGAAGCGACAGCGATGAAAAATCCTGGTATCGATCCCCCCATCCCAGCCCTGACATGTTGGCCGCCGTGCTGCAAAGCATGCTGGGGAGCGGCAGAGCTGCCAGAGCAGCCGTACTCGCGGTGACCCCGTAATATTGCGCCGTGCTGTACGGCGGTGCTGTCGTATACGGCGGACTGAAGGTCGACGCGGGCGGGGAGGTCAGATGTGTCTCTTCCACCAGGCCGCCCATGTGAGTCCAGAGACCTGGATTCACCTCCCCGGTCGTGGTCGTGGCGGGGCTGGACGGCAAGATCTTCCAGGACTCCATCGGAAGCGGCTGATGCATCGTATCCTGCCACCAGGGTCCCGGACCCGTGGAGCTGGGCAAGAACGGTACCGATCGGAGCACATCGACAACGCGCGGAGGGGGTGGCTGCAACGGAACGAATAGGTTGGAGATGGCCGCTTTGGCTTCCTCGCTGCGGCCGGCCAGCAGTTCCCCCGCCCCATCTTCCTCCAGCCCTTCCAGGGCGAGAACATTGGTGCGATAGACGAACTTGTTGGCCGCCTGGACGAATTCCTCCTGCAGCTTCTTCAGCTGGCTGGTCTTGTCGGGCCAGTCCCAGGTATTGGCCGCGGTATCGACCGAATAGACGTCCTTGTGATAATCGACCAGCGCCTCGATGGTTTCGGGGGTGAGCTTGAAGGCGACCTCATTCTGCGACACCATATCCACATGGACGACGTACGCCTCGATGTGAGTCATCTGATAGTTGAAGAGACCCTCCACCAGCGGGTTGTCGTCCTTGCGCAGTTCGGCGTCGGGCGCCTTGGGGAACATCATCGAGCACAAGGTCCAGATCGCGTTGGGCGACGACAGCGTCTCGGTCAGACATCTGGTATGTTGTGTGACATTGTTTAGCGGACGTTTGACTCGGTTGACCCGCTTCAAAGTGGCCGTGAGCCACGGTTCGATGCGGGAGTTGAGCACCACGTTTGGCGACGACCGCGGGGCAAAGGCGGCGGCCGACGAGGGCAGTAAGACGGTGGGCATCCTCAGACTGCGCGAGAGCGACGAAAGACGGTACGGTACTTGACAAAAAGCAATGAGCGAAGAAGAGAAGGGCGGATCAACAAAGAGAGAGAGAAGATAGGATCAAAAGCGATCATAGAGGCGACATTCGCCCACACCCAAGTGAGTTTTTCCTGATACAATCCAATCCGTCCGTGATGGGCAGACCAAAAGTTTTTGTTGAGATAGGCTTCAAGTCACGAGGACTAGCCCGCTCCTGAAGGAAAGGCACGGAGGGATATAGAATAAAAGAAGGAAGATCAAAGTAAAAGTAAAAAAAAAAAAAAAAAAAAAGAAAAGAAAAGAAAAGAAAGAAAGAAAAAAGGGAAAAGGATAGAAGTAGGTGTGGCGGGGTAAAAACCGCTGCCTATCTGGTGAACAATGGCGACGGTGGGAGCAGGAAAGTGAGTTGATCAGTTAGGGTATAGATTTAAAGAAAATCCCCACCGTCAAGCAGAGAGAAGTGGAGCGTGGCAGCGGGTGTAGTAAGTAGTTGTAGAAGTAATCGGTAATCGTTGTGGAAAATGGAGTATAGGGCAAAACTACTAATTTGTGTGGGCGAACGCGCGAAAAGGAAAAGAAAGGAATGGCAGGGACTGAAAAAGGATTGAAGGGCCGTGAAGAAGAGGAAGAGAGGAGGAAGAAGAGGGAAAAGAGGAGGAAGAGGGAGAGGGGGGGCAAAACAGACAGAGAGAGAGGCTGTCTGCAGTTCAATCAGTTGTGTGCAGCAACAGCAGCAACAGCAGTAGCAGTAGCAGCCGTAGCAACAACTGAATGGAGAGTCAAGCTGACTTCAGGTGATGTTAACGGTACAGATACTGTATGGTCCACCGGAACTGGGGCTTTTGGTATATGTATCAAAGCACGGGACTCTCTATACCTACACTGCCGTCTGACAAGCCACCCACAGAAGATTAGAGGCTGCTCCGAAACAGCATGGAAAACACTGTTTTCTACGTCAAAAATTATAGACGTTGAACAAGACCAATGCGAGAAGCCATAGCTGAGATTTTCATTGATGTCTCTGGAAGTTCTTCAGCTCTCTCCCACCGACCCGGAGAGTACCGAGTGAATCTCAACTAATTAGTACGGACAAAGCACGCACAAGCAACTGTCCATACATACTGTGCATGGATGAGGGGGAGAGAGAGAGGGGGGGGGCAATTCGCAGTCCGGCCGGCGACTTTTCCCACATGCACTGGACGCGAAATCCCGATCGTATGGTACGAGTGATTTTTATCTGCCTTTTTTTTTTTTACACCTGCATTTATTTTTCATTTTTGTTTTTTCTTTACCGACCGAGAAGAGATGAAGTCATTAATAATTTTTAAGATTCTCTTTTCATGGTTGGAGCCACTGCCCGCTTTTCCTGGTGCACTCTCCAGCACTTTTCTTCCTATCCTTCCAGCAACAACAAGTCTTAGCCAGATGCAAGTGTCCAGAATCGTCATTGGCAGTGGAGCATCAAACCAGGAAAAAGACTGAAAGTAGTAGCAGTCTAGCAGAGTCAGTCGATTCGACTACTCCATCCAGGGAGAGCACGGGGCTAGTTTAGACCAGGTGATCCCCCATGATTCAATCTTTTTGCTGTATGAGTGATTTCTTGACATCAACCACTAGTGGGTAAATAGTTACTAGGATGATGATTAGATACTATACTTCTTACTAAGATTATAACAGTCGCAAGGTGAACAAGTTTCTTAATAAATCACTACACAGTACGTAACTACGTACTTCAATACAATTCCCTATAAATTTAACTAAGACTGTTGTCTACTTCCCCCTAACTAAAGTAAATTACCTTCAAGGGTCGCGCGGGCGTCCGCGAACAAAGAAAGTTTGGACCAAAGGACGCCCCCGGTAGTCTATGGAGTAAGTTAAGTTACCACAGAACATTTCAATAGTTCAACTAGTATCTAGTATCTAGCATCTAGCATCTCGCAATCTACTCATCCACTGCAGTGCGTGCCGGTCGGATGCGGAAGAGCTGATTTAACCTTTTTCCCTCTCTTTCCTCTTCCTGTTTCCGCGTGAAAAACAGGTGCGTTTCTTGTGATAGACTCCCACTGTAGCTCCGGATCAACATGCATTGGCAATGCCACGGTGGGATAAACAAGCCGGACAACTTCCCTACTTCTACCTAGCGAGGTCACACATATACACATACACACATTCCTCCTCCCCCCCCGGGAAAAAAGGAAACCGTAAAAAAAAAAAAAAAACTTGGGGTTCTGCACAGAGGACGGCCGGGCGGCCGGGCGGACGGACGAGGAAAAGACAGAAGCTGAACCATGGTGTACATCCCAACAGGCGTTACCATTATTCGTCAAATTCCGGGTCGGACTGGGTTTGGTGGTGACACCGGAAAGCTGAAGCTCGGAGGCAGCATTGTATTATACTTTCCATCTTCCATTCTGACCATAGAGGAAAACAAAGAACAAAAAAACACAAAAACAAAACAAAAGAAAAAGCGATGTATAGACTATAGGCAGTAGACAGATGGACAAAAAAGAAGAGAGAGAGAGAGAGGCGTGGTGCAGAAAATGGGGCTTGCAGGATGGATTGAACCTGGATCAGGGCTGGCTGGGGCTAAGCTAAGCCCCCCTCGCACTCCCCCTCCCTCTCTTTCCTCGGCGAGAAAGCCAGACGCTCCACTTGCTATGCAAGTCGTGATGGCGGAGAGTGGCAGTGGCCATACATAACTTATGCTAGGCTGCGATCATGTACATGTATACGAAGGAGTCCGCACGCACTCGGCTTGTCGATCAGTAGTTATAGTCAGTACCAAGCAACAGAACCGAATACAATCCTATCTGACGGACACCTAGCGACTTGAAGTATACCTAGTACCGCGTGCACTCTACAGTACAGAGTACCCTGAATGTACTCCGGATCAGCCTGCTATGCTCGCAGCACCCAGCCAAATATCCTAATTCAGATGAGTCGCACTGAGTAGACACACTGCGATGTATATGTCAACTTTTGCAATTTCTCCAACATGACAAACCATCCTGAGTCAGAACAAACCCACTGCCGCGAGTCAAGTGTAGTCATTATCCAGTGAAGTGAAGATCCGATCGTCGGACGGTCCAAGAACCAAGACATACTGTAAACGATGGGCAAGGCTCTCTCTCTCTCTCTCTCTCCGGCGCGCACTTCCGCTAATCCACTTTGTCTTTCCATGTCTGGGACGGTGGGACGGTGGACCAACTACACTGCCCTTCCCACTTCCCAAGTCAGCGTTGCTCACATGTGGCGGGTTAGTTAGTGCTGAGATCTGACATAGCACGGACTCTACGGAGTATGGACTGTACTATCGTTAAGTTAGTCTACTCCCCTATGTATAATTTCCCGAGCGTTCTACTCCGTACTAAGTGTGTAAATCCAGACAAAGCCCTACTGAGATTGATTCTTGTCTCCCTCCGGAAATCCACACACATACTTACTATTGTGTACGTTAGTACATGACTTCAACACAAGCCTGTGAGTGCAGTAGTAGATCATCGCACATACACTTTTGGGTATCTTCATGTGGGTAATGGATCACATCCACTTTTCCTCAGCTGTACAGTATGACTCACTCCATAAATACACATAACTACGGAGTAGTGAGTAAGTACAGTAGTACAGTACTCCGCAGTTACAGCTTCCGACCGCTCAGGAGCTCAAGCTCGAACCAACTGGTACATCATTGCTCCAAGAGGGAAAAAAGCTGGGAACCGAAGCCCTATGAAAGGAAGTGTAGTTACGATAAGTGACTTAGTGATAGGGTCCACAGAACGCACAGTCCAGGTGATATCCGACTTTAGTCCCGATGAGGAAGAGGTACGGCAAGCAGTAGCCGCCATCATGAAATTGGCAACTTGCGTGCCCATAATATTCATGGTATAAACTATAGGGGTGGAGGTAAACGAGAGCATGTCCATTACTTCTACAGACTATATTACAATCGTATCCCCCCTGGGCTAGATCAATGTCAGAGAGGAAGAGCATCCCTCTTCTTGCAAGACGAACAGGGGACGTAGTTTCTGACATGCAGGACAACGGGTGCGTGAAGTCATACAGGCACATTTCTTTTCGCTTGGAAAAAGGGGAAATGAACGTTGTGCTAGGTGTTCTGCGAATATACCCCTGCCCTGGTGGATTTTGTTCATCATACTTAACTAAGTTAGTCAGTCGTCCTGCGTCAAGGCAGCAGGCTAGGCTGGTTGTGTCTGTAGCATATCTGATCATAGCTGGTTAGATAGCTTGGATTTCTTGGGATAACGTTCTCTTGGGGGGGCATTCAGAAAGCGATCCAGATTCGACTCCCAGACAGTGCACTTGACAAGGCACGTGGGAATTGTCGAGTGATTGACTCCTTGGGATCGATATTCAGGGCCGTCAATACCCGCATTCTTGCGCGTCCGTGTCCAGTGTCTCTCTGTAGCCTTCATCGATAATTCACATTCTACTGACCAAAGGAGATCCTTTCGCCAAACTATGAGATTGCGCGGTTGTTCCTATTCAACCAACACTACGGAGTACTCGCTGCTCGGACTCTCAACGTATACCCCTTTTGATGCCATCCAACCCGTATCGCGAGACATGAGTATCCCGAAAGGAGCCATCCGCTCAGCTAGTGAGGTGATTGACGGCAAGGAAATTTCTTAAGAGGCGTCGTGGGGCGAGCTAAAACGTCCTGGGCATTTTACTGTGTAGGTGAGAAATGTCTCTTCTGAGCGCGGATTCGTCGACCGACCAGAGAGGCCGGTTCGCTCGCCGCAGCTGAAATCCCCGCTACGGACTCTTATTGGACTGAGCCTCGACGACCGGTCATCTCCAGACTTTCTGGAATAGGAAGGGCAGTCGGACGAGGAACGCGCTTGTAACGAGGGACTCGTTACTCGGCCATTACCTGTCCTGTAATGGGGAGGGGCAACTTGCAAGGCAAGCCAGAGAAACAAAGTCTGTCCTCGGTCCCGACCTGCGCATGCATGCAATTGGCGTTGCCTTGCACGACCGTAACGTCTGTCAAGGACTCCGACTGCTTACTGTACCCACGCCCGCGTGCCGCATACACGCGGCTGGGACAGGGCGGAGTGATAGCCCCCGGGGGTAGGCTCGTATGGTCTCCCAAGGCGGCAGCACCACAGTGTCAATGGAGATATCACCCTTCCCAGGCAACAGACTCCGATGCTGTGACCGGGTGGCAAACTCTGGCGGAGACAGGGTAACTAGCAGACGCAGTGTTAGAGGTCCGGCGATACCGAGACAGGGCCCGAAGGGAACGGGTAGTCCTGTGATGACTTTGCCTCTGGCCGTCGGTTTTGCGCGACATCAGTCCAGGTTGGACTGCCTGTCAAGCATTGCGGCAGTGACGAGCTCGGTTGTGATTGCGTCTGGAAATCTCAGCACGCGCTCCAGGGTGGATTTAACGACAGGCGCAGAAATACAGATGAGATAATTGGACGAACACGATGGATGTACAGAGCTTAACGTGAACGGCGGTTGAGGGCCCGGTGCCAGAGCGCATCGCTTGATCGGCTGGAGTCGGCTCCCGACGACAAACGAGCAAGAACCGCAGTATCAGAAGCAGTCAGCGCGTCGTCAGCTCGCACTAGCAGCTAGAAAGCCCATCACATTGATCATCCATCGCCCGAACAGGTCGCTACAGCACTGACAAGACAAGCTGAGGAGACATGGGACACTCCACTGGGGCAAGTTTGTTGATTGGGACTCACGATGATAAAAAAAGAAAAGCAGAGCGTAGTGCATGCACTGTATCCCGAGGTGAGAGGAGCAGGAAGACAGCGGAGAATAAAGCTGCCTATGGGAGAGGAAGAAGAGAAGAGCAGTTGTGGCTCTCCCACCCTTCGGCGTCGGCGATGGCCGAGTGCTGCGCCTCGCTAAGCCACGATTGTGTGGCGAAGTTTCTGCAGGCGCGGCGGTGACATCATCGTCGGAGAATTCGAGCGGGCAGCAAAACACCATCAGCATCGATAACTGCCGGTCAGTCTGGATCGGAAGGACAGATTCACAAATGACTGGCTCTGACACCAAAGCGGAAGTTGGTTGCATCTATCAACATGGGCGGGTAGAGTTGAAAGCCTTCGCTCACAATGAACGGCAGACGATTTTGGAAATTCTCAACCTTAATCCTTGGAGTGACGAAGAGAGATGTACCGGTAGGCAACTAATGGGACAGGAAAATTCTTTACTCTCAGATGACTACATATTAGCGCTTCAAAAATTCCCGTTCTATACCAGTCTAGGTGAAGCAACTAGCGCTGATCAGCAAAGGCGCCCCTGCGAGTGCTCCGACCTTGCGCATGAGCTCTTGAAACACAAGATGCGAAGCCTGAGCGACGAAGCACTAAAAACAACAAGAGGTCACTGCGGTCGTCCCGTCCTGGTGCATAGCAAGTTGGACTCTCCGTGACAAGGCAGGCGGACAGACACACCCCCCCACACACAGAGACAGAAGTCTGAGATAGCCCAATAACATGGCACTTCCAATGTAACTTCGTACATAAGCGCCGACGCCTCGCCTTGCCTAAACCCAGTCAGACTTTAGTCCCTGGCCAGCCCTGCAAGCAGCCAATACAGGCTGCCTCACCAAGGCCCATCCCTGTTCCGTATTTCAACCAATAACCATGGGGGGAAGACGGGGGGTAATACTCCGCAGGCCGCACGGTATCTGAGTTATGCAGGTTGCCGGCCGCCTGAGGTTTCTCCTGTCTTGTCTTCTGAGCGAGAGGGTGTGCAAGACCCGCTGGGCGCTGCTGACAATGCATACGATTTCGGTCATGTGTTCGGCTAGCCTTTTTGAGAGCGAGGATCGAATGGCCTGGATCGCATCCTGATGCGATGAGGTCAGTGGATTCTCCAGTCTGGGGTTTGGATACGACGTCTTTTCCCTGTCTTATTCATCTGGTATTCTTGGTGATACCGCAGTGAGGTCTGGTCTCCGGCGCTGGCCAGAACCTGTCCTCGTACCCTCGGATCTCTGGTGCCATTGCCAAACATGGTTCGCTGCATATCCTTCGCTGAGAGAGAATCTGCTCAGACTTCGCGCCGAGACAAATAGAATAGAGGGGGTTGTGCTGCGATTGTGTCTCATCAACGAGAGAATGGTATCTTCTCATATGTGACGAATGATCTGGATTCGACTGATCGAGCAACTTGATGAGTGCTTGCTACACAAGGGAGCTCGCACTGCCCGTGATGCCCGTGATTGAACCGTCTCGCACAATTATCCCGTTGTCAGCCATTAGTCAATATCACGATGAACGAGCCGTGCGAAGTGAATTCTGGGCGAATGGCTGGTGCGTGTGAGTAATTTTCCCGTAGGCTAAGGTTGAATACAACGATAGGTACTATGCTTGGCACATTTGTCTTGATATCAACAGTGTGTTCTCTATTGATGCAATATCTTGCAGTATATGTCAAACGATGGACACTGTTGACGAACAAAGTCCTCAGCCACTGCCTGGTATCTGAACTACTCCATCCCACCTATCATCGGACCTGTCTTCCTCGCTTATTCGGTCCGACTGGGGAAACCGAACCGATATCTCCAGAAAAACAAATCGCATCAGACTCTCTAGTCATCTCGACGCAGTCTCTTCCCGAACCAACGCTAGGCCCCACGACGGGATCATGACTAGCTCGATCTGATTTTGGAGCAACGGTTTGCTTCAGTGGACCAACGCTCCGCATGGCCTCAATCAACACGTTCCCTGATCGCGTCTATGTATTCAGACCTTTCTCTTTCTCGGTTATGTGCCAGAAAAACTGCACCGTTTTTCGATCACACATACACTGCGCAAACCACCTATTGCTTTCCTCGGACTTGACCAGCACAGAGGGCCGGGGGTCTCTGGATATTAGACCCGGTTCATCCGCAGCGGATGTACGATGAAAGCAATGATGGGAGGGCTTCAGCTCATCGCATGGGTCAAAGGTAGCCAACCAACCGGAAGATTCGGAAATCAGAAGTTCAATACCGGTGGGTAGGTAGCAGTAAGCATCTACGTAAAGAAAAAGCAAGCAGTAAATTGGAAGTTGTTTCTCTCCCAGCTCTCGACAAGGGTAGTGCAGTAAAGCGTTCCCCCCATCCGACCAGTCCCTGAAATAAGCTTGTATGCACTGCACACAAAAGAGACCAAATTTCATCAGTTCCGTGCATGCGGGCTCAATGTTGGGGGGGGGGGGGG